AGGTAACATTAAAATCTAATTATGAAATAAGGATGTACCTTCCTATTTATAATTAAATTAGAGGCCCAGCACATGATTACCTAGAGCATGTATAGGGCCCCCGAGGCCTAGCCTGCCATCAGGGCCTTGTCTGCTGCTCTGTGATGCCTCCCATGCTCCATGGAGGATGTTATAAATAACTCCCAACTCATGCCATTCCCCCACGTACTGCCACCTCCCGCCACGGGCCACGTGGGTCCCACCTCGCCGTAAGTCCCAGCCTGCAAAAGGTACTCCATGCACCTCATGGTGATGATACCCATGACCACAGACCTTTTATGATATAGACAGTAAATATGATAGAAATAAGGTATATACAACAATTTTGTATGTGATAAATTATCTTTGAAATTCAACCTTAGCATTTAAAGGCATTATCAATATATTCAACTTACGACATTCATGTTTACATTGCCATTTTGGATTTTGTTTACTGAAATAACAACTCACCAACTGTTTGAAACATCTTATTAATTTAACCCCACACGTAAAATGCGGTCATAGAAAACTTAGCATCATTGACAGTATGGAGAAGCATGAATACAATTTTCTCAATCCCCTTCTCTGCTGACACATAATTCACTGATGTTATCAACGTGGTGAGGAACGAAAAAAGAATGAAGGGTGCCGCTAGCTTATTGTTAAAGTAAAATAGTTTTAATGAGACCCTTCAGTTGCTTTACAATATAGTGAACAGAGCAAAGCAAAATAACACAAACTGGCCCTAATGGATTTTTTTTTCTATACTGCTGCTTTCCCACCAGCTCATGGACTGCTGAGTCTGCCTAGTCCTCAAAATGCAATATGCACTCAACATCTGAAAGAGAGAAGCCAAAAAGGCTTTTAGTGGGAGCAGTCGGAAGGGAGGCAATATAGTCGAAAATGCTATTACAGTGGAAATGCTCCCTGTTTGGGTAAGATTATCACCTACAGTGAATTAAGAGGCAAGATTGCAACTGTGCACACATTTTAAATAGCCCTTAATGAAACTGCTGTGATTTTCTGTTTTTGGCTTTACCCCATCCAGGGTTTTGCTGTTGTTGTTTTCTTAATTATTTTTAAATCCTCACTCGAGGACACGTTTTTATTTATTTAAAAGGGGAGGGGAGAGAAAGAGAGAGAAAGAGAAAGAGAGGTTGAAACATCTATCAGCTGCCTCCCATACAGGCCCAACTGGGAAAATCCAATCTGTAACATTTTCACATATGGGGCAATGCGCTAACCGAGCGAACCACCAGGCCTGGGCTTTTCTTAATTCTTTTGAATGAAATAGGAAGTTCCAATAGCTTATTATGAGTAAGAACACCTACAACTTCACAACTCTACCTTCAATGGATACCACATTAAAATAACATTGCTGTCATCAGGAAAATTATGAAAGAGATTTAATGTCCTCCAAGCTTAATTAGAGCAGTTTATGCTTATTTAGCGTTTATCTCCACATTATTGTTGATAGCTCTGCAAAGGTATTTTTGTGTAGAGAGAGCTTCCCTAATTAAATGGCTTACATCTGAGTCATTCAGCAATTTCACAACACGCTGGTCAGTAATCATCACTCTCAGAGTGATGAATGGTGACCACGGTGGGCTTCTAAAGATGAATCACTCAAGAGGAGGCTGAACATGCTAAGAAGATGCATGGAGTTTTAGGAGAAAAAAAAATATATAATTTTTGAAATATTTATGATTTCCCACACCAAAAGACAGTATTTTATATTTTAACCTCCTGTGTTTAACTACATGTGCCTCTGTGACATTTGAAAACCTGAGCTATTGTACTAACAAAGGGAATTCCTCTCTGTGATCACATTCCCAATATTAGTATAGCTAAAATGTTCATTATGGATTATGGCTCCTGCAGATATAAGCACAAACTCTTGGGGAATTTCTGGTAATGATCTAAATTTCCAGAGATCGATCCCATATTACGCTTTGAATATATTTATCTCATTAGCTCTTGCAGCAAATGATAGAGATCCTCCAATAAACATTTGCTCACAACTAAATGAATTATTTTATTTTGTTTATTTTTTCCTTATAATTAACAAAAAATTAAAACTAAATAAATATAACATATTACAAATAATCTCCAGTATACTTGAACACTGATGGCATAAAAGATAAATGCTAATTAACTAGCTGAGAAATGCAGACTAAGATGTTAGTTGAAAGTTTGGGTAAATCAGAATCTCATTCAAGCACTAGAATTGCATGTCATTGTGCTTATTAGTGACTAAATAAATATAAATAACTTATGAAGCCATATTTCTATCAGTGGTATGACATAGCAAATAATAAATTAGTGCCTAACATTTTTTTCTCAGAAGTTATGTATTTGGGGGAATAAAATGTGAAAGTTTATTCCCCCAAATAAAATTATTTGATGAAATTATATGAGATACCATTCACTCACAATGTATTGAGTTAAAATAATTTTATTTTATGTTAATTATTTTAAAAAGAATTTTATTGATTTTTCAGAAAGGGAGGAAGGAGAGGAAGAGAGAGAGAACAAAGAGAGAGAGAGAGAGAGAGAGAGAGAGAGAGAGAGAGAGAGAGAGAGAGAGAGAGAAATTGATTGGTTGCCTCCTATATGCTCCCCAACTGGGAATGAACTTGCAACCTAGATTCCTGACCTGCCCAGAACTGAACCCATGAAATTCTGGTGCACAGGATGATGCTCCAACCAACTGAGCCAGAACCCAAAATAATTTTGGATTTATGTCATATTATGAATGAATGAAGTATAATACACTAAACATTAATAACTTAATGCTATCATGTCAAAGAGAATAAATGTTATCTGAACTAGAGAGATAAAAAGTATATTGTGGTATCTAGGAGAGTGATTTGAATATTCATTTCTTTAAAATTATATTATAGTGTTCAATTTTATCTAATTTAGTGTAAAAACAAAATATATGTTAAATTCATTAAATAACTTTTTAATAATAATGTGACATTAAAAAATTTAGACATTATTTGGCAATGAATAAAGAAGAATGCTCTATAATATTATTCCTCATTTACATATTTGCTAAGTCACTATGTTATTCAGACCTTTTAAATTTTTATTTGTATGTGCTGATAAATTTGATTAAAATGACAAGGTCCTTTAAAAAGTTAGAAATTTATCATGTGCTATTGCCAATTTTTAAAAAATAATTTTAATCAATACACCAATATATTACACTATTATATCACACTAATCTACAAACGACAAAAAAATAATTCCACTCAGATATATAATCCAACTGGGTTTTTGTAAGTTTCTCATGAAAGTGACCTTGCTGATATCAGTAAACATTTTCCAAATAACTCAGCTTTCTTCAGAAGTAAATAATTGACCTATTAGCCAAGTTGAACAGATAAAAGGAAAAAAAAATCTACATCCTAAGGCTTTTAGTTTGTTTTGTTTTCATCATATCTGTAAATTTAATAGAGGAAGTAGAAATTCCAAGTTCTGTTCCCAGTATTTTCCTCAATTTAAAGTTACATTAAAATAAAATTTTTACATACTATTTTAAATTGTTTTGTTTTCTTGATAAGTCAATAACTTTTACTAAACAGGGCCAAGGGCAAGGAGAGATCAAAATTTGTTCTATATATGGTTACAATAAACTATAACAAAAAGCTTCCTTACAACTAATTCAACTATTATCTTTCTTTTTAAAATAGTTCTCATATCTGAAATATCCTGGTTGTTTTTTGAGATTTTTTATAATATACTCTTTTGATTTATTTTTACCAAACCTTTCCTCAAAGCAAGATAGTACACTGGTACATTGTATTTACAAAACAAATAAGCAAATAATAATTTAAAAAAAAAACCCTCCAATTTAAAGTTTTATATTAAGTATAGGTCAAATTTACTTATTTAAGAAATTTGAAAATTATGAGTTCTATTATGTAACTATTCCTAAAAAATGTATGTGCTATACTTCAAGGTCCTTTTACATCCTCCTCAAATCTTACTCAATTCTCACTACCCTGTACTACTCAACTTAGTTTAATAAGGTCATCACACTTAATAATATAAGATGGCTAGCTCTAAAAGTTATTTTTTTTCTGCTTGTAAATCTTACTGTTCCATCATATGTATTGATGTAGAATTCATTTGTTCAGCAAATAATAACTTAGGTCTCAAAGAATGCAGGCCCTGTTATATGTTCATATAGAAAATAATACAATAACTAATAAATTATAATACAAGAATAAACTCTGTTTTGTGTATTTATAAATGTAAACATACTTTTGCCTCTCTCTGTCATACATACATATATATACGTATATATATATGTCTCTCTCTCTCTCTCTCTCTCTATATATATATATATATATGAAGTATAAAACAAAATTTTAGTTTTTAGTTTTGTTTTTTTCTGGTGATTTTTTATTTTATTTCATAATTATTATTAAAAATAATTTTGTCAGATGGAAAAAAGGGGATATTAAAAATAATGAATCCTGCATGTCAAATATTCTAGCTATGTTACAGGAATAATTTATTATATGTATCTTCTCTTAAGAAAATAAATACTCAACTAAACCATTTGTTGCTCATTCTTTTCATTAACTTTCTAACTCAGATACAACACACATAAGCCACAAATTTGAGGAAAAAAAAAGAGAAAGTTGCAAAAGCTTCATTTTATCAGTAAAACATTTTTTAAAATGTCCGATTGAAAAGGACTTTTAGAGGGATGCTGGAGGATTTTTCAATATTGATTCAGTAAAAATACCTACTGACCATTTTGGCAGAAATAAAATTGTCTTTTGTTACTTATCCATTTAGAAGCAGATGTCTAAATTGCTTCCCTGATTTTCCACAGTAACAGAATGTAGCAAGATGCATTCACAAAAAACAAAACTCATAATGGTCTATGCAGGCACCATTTTTATCACTTTCTCACAGCAACTAAGATTAATGAGCAAAGAACAAGTGGCTGACATCAAACATACCCATGGGGGTGCCAACGCCATAACCTTTGGAGTCTATAAGGCCACCAATCTGCGTCAGGTTGCAGTTCCGCTGGGTAACAAACTCGATGGTTGTTGACTCCATTAGGAAAGCATAATCAGAGGTGAGGACTCGCTGGATTCCTTCCTCATTACTTTTGACGAGCACTGACTGCCTCCTGCTACTCATAAAGGCCCACATTTTGTCATACGTGGATATTTTTGATTTCTGGAGGGAAAATAAAACACATAAGAAAGACAATCCTTAGTATCCATGTGATCCTACAATATTAAGGTGGACTGACTATATTTACTTTATTCATACTACCTTTAATTGCATTATTAACAATAGTAACATCTAAACAGAAAACCAAAATCTGTATAAAATTTTTCTCATAGCAATTCCTCATATGTTTCCAGGAATAGTACAGATTTATGTAACAAATATTTCAACTGTGTCCCAATGCACAAAAATGCACAAGTAGAAAATCACAGAAGCTAATAAAAAGGAAAATAAACAAGATTGATAGGGAGGGTCTTTTGTGCTTATATCTCACATGAGTGCTTCATGTGTATAATTTTGTCTTTCAACATTACGGTAACATTAATTTGATAGAGACAGACACTGGACAACGATTGACACTGTAAAACTTCAAGAGGTTATTTTTCTCAATTCGGTTGACTGTAAGACAGATGTCATGTCACCCCCAAGGATACTCAAAGACACAGGTTAAAGAGATGAGAGTAACTCATTACAAACAAAGGTGTTACAAATATGAATGACTACATTTCCACTGAGACTCAGCCTGCCTCTGGACAACAGAAAATCTATCATTTAGGTCCATTAACAAACTAAAGATTTCTGGACCAATAAAATTGAATAATTTTTATATGCAACGCAAATTCTCTGTGGGCTTTACTAGGTTTTCATTGCTAAGAGAAAGAAATGAGTTTTATTCAGAAGGAACTGGAACAACACAAACATGAAAAAGGTGAGTATCTGCTTATGGAAAGCTCTTCTGTCAATCCCTTACCATAGTTTAATTCTTATACATCACAATACTGAAGCTATAAACAGAAGATATTCATCATACTGGTTGCACTGTTATAAAAAGCTAAAATAGCCAAATGATTTTCAAATAAATATATATGCAATCTTTTTACAGCGTAAGCATGCTTTTAATCCTACATGAGCCAGGTCATAAATTTGATAGTACCATGGCTTCTACTGACAGGCAGGTACAGCCTGTCCATTGTGGTTGAGTGGTTGATCATCGACCCAGAAACCAAGAGATTGCTGTTAGATTCCTGGTAGGAGCACATGCCCGGGTTGTGGGCTTGGTCACCAGAAAGGGGGCATGTGGAACGCAACAAATATATGTTGTTTCTCTCATTGATTTTTCTTTTCTTTTCTTTTCTTTTTAAATTGTGTTCTATACTTTTTTTTTGTAACATTTGCTTCTCTTTTTTTTTTCTTTATATATTCTATTGATTTTGTACAGAGAGGAAGGGAGAGAGATAGTTAGAAACATCAATGAGAGAGAGTCATCGATCAGCTGCCTCCTGCACATTCCCTACTGGGGATATGCCTGCAACCAAGGTACATGCCCTTGACCGGAATCGAACCCCGGACCCTTCAGTCCCCAAGCTGATGCTCTATCCATTGAGCCAAACCGGTTTCGGCTCTCTCATCGATTTTTCTATCTCTCTATCCTTCTCCCTTTATCCCTCTCTCTAAAAATTAATGAAAACATAAAAAAGCATATCATAACAATGTTTATAAAAATTCTTGCACTGTTTCAATGATAAAAGGGGAAGAGAAATCCTAACTTAGCTGGAGGAAAAAAGTAAAGGTATGTGCGTGCTATAGAAAAGCAAGTATAGTATTAGGGCTAAGAGAGGTAAGAAATGCAAACCTTTGCTCTCCTGGGAAACTGAAACATTCTAACAGGACAATGGCTCATACTCTAAAAGAGAGCAGCGAAAACACCTCGAATAGCAGCCCAAACTTGTAATCCTAATAATCAGTAACATAATAGTCAGAAAAAGTTCATTTCCTTTCAAAGGTAAGAAAATTTTTCCTAATGTTTGCATTAAGTGAGGATTAAATGCAAACAAAACTAAAATTATAGTTTACCTGCGGATTACAATTATTTTAGGTAAAAAAATGAATGCAGTTTTCGATTTAGTAAATCTGTGACTGAAAATAAATAAATACTATTCAATAAAGGATAACACTAAATTTTTTGTGATAAACACACACACACACACACATCGATTGAAAATTTAAAATGTAATATCTTTAGCAGGAGTGATAATACAATATCAGAACATGAGTGGAAAAAACCAAGTAGGGAATGAGAAAGTGAACAAAAAGTTATTTTTACCTGTATTGGCCACAAATTGCCTAAATTATCTGCTTTGCTTTAGCTATTAAAATATTGGCAATCAGTGTCTTCTATGCCTATCCAAATTTATGTATGAAATTTTTGCTTTGATAGGGCCAAAACACTTTTTTAATTTAAATTATGTTTCTTGAATTATGCTGCCATAATGTTTGACATAAGCTGGAAATAATTCTAGATATTGTCCAGATTCCAGGTGTTGCAAAAACTTAACATGCGAGGAGATCATGGATATTTGCCTTTCTTATAGGAGCAGTGAGAAGTGGAAGCAGGTGTGAGGCAGATTTAGGATACAATCACATTTGCATTGTGAGACCACTGAGGCTGCTATGTGGAGATCAGCAGTGGCAAAGTTAAATGTAAGAAGGAGTACATACCAACAGTATGTACTCTATGTTAGAAACAGTACATGTATTAGAAGAGTAGTGTGGAAAATAGAAAGAAATGGAAGTATTCAAGGTGTGTGTGTGTGTGTGTGTGTGTGTGTGTGTGTGTTGTGTGTGTGCAATGGATAACACTTGGTCATTATTGGAATAATGGAAGTAAAGAAGAGATTTAGGTTAACTCCTTGCTTTATCTGGGAGTAAAGAAAACATATATTAAGTCAGAGACACCTAAAGAACATCCAAATGGATCAGTTGTGATGTGAAGTTAGATATGTAAGTTTGGGCTTCAGAGGGTAATTCAAGACAAGATATATGGATCTTGGGGTCCTCCTGGATACAGAAGACAAAGTAGCAGCTGGAGGAGAAAATAGTCTTAGACAAAGGGGAGTCCTACGGTCAAGCTTTGCACAGTTTTGAACAATGGCTGGCAGAGAAGACTGAGCCTGCAAGTGAAACATAAAAAAAGTAAAAGAGACAGACCTCTTACCATGTGAGACAGCATGGAGGGACCTGGACAGAGTTTTGCTAAGTGAAATAAGCCAGTCAGAGGAAGGCAAGTATCACATGATCTCACTCATATGTGGAATCTAATGAACAAATAAACTGATAAACAAAATAGATCCACAGACATGGAAGCATGGAATAGACTGATGAAGAGTCTCAGAGGAAAAGGGAGTGGGGAGCAGGAAGAGATTAACCAAAGAATTTATGTGCACATAGACATAATCCATGGCACAGAGAACTGTGCAGTGAAGGCCTGTAGGGGAGGTTGAGCTGGGGGTTAATAGGGAAAAACAGAGGACATCTGTAATATTCAATATTTTCAACAATAAAGATAAATTTATAAAAAGAATTATCAAATTAAATTAAGGAATAGAATCTGCAAACTGTGGTACTGTGATCAAGGCAACAGAATATTAATTGAGGAAGTTGTCACAGTAATGATTTACCAAAATAAGACAAAAATGCACACAATGAGAATGGAATAATATCTTTGGATTTGGCAACAGAGAGTTCCTTGGTTATTTTAGCAAAAGTTAATTTAGGGGAGTGAAGCACTTAGAAATAACATTGAAACAGATTAAAGAATGGGAAAGTAAAATGAAACCAGTAAATGCCAAAAAGAGAAAAAATCAGAAAGTAGGTCACTGGAGAAGAGGATTTACAGGGAAGGGCATATAATATTTTGGTTTAAGTAAGATTTTCAAGGATTAAAGAGATTTGAGCATGTTTAAACAACAATAGGGTATTTTAAAAAAAATATATTTTATTGATTTTTTTACAGAGAGGAAAGGAGAGTTAGAAATACCGATGAGAGAGAATCATTGATCAGCTGCCTCTTGCACACCCCCTACCGGGGATGTGTCCGCAACCAAGGTACATGCCCTTGACCGGAATCGAACCCCGGACCCTTCAGTCTGCAGGCCGAAGCTCTATCCACTGAGCCAAACCGGTTTCGACAACAATGGGGTATTTTGAGGGGAAAAGGATTAACATGCCTGAGATAGAAAGAACAATCAAGAATTTAACATTTCTACTAAGGTGAGTCACAAATGGAATTGAAGAGGATTTAAAAAACTGTAATTTGGCTTGACTTCTGAGTTCTAAATATTTATATTAAACACATGTAGAATTATATTTATACACTAACCTATTGTATAAGGAAATGAGAAATTAAAAAAACCTCAGGTGGATTTCTTTTTAATAAAATAGAAAAATGTTGAATGTCTTCATAGTAAAATAAACTATAGGATCTCTAAGATGATGGAACTGTACAAGCTAAAGATTAGGAATTAAAATGCATTTAAAGTCAGGAATGAAATAAATACAAATATAATTAATCACATATGAACATGTTGGGTATGAAAGTTATATGTAAACTTTGAAGAAAGGACAAATCAAGTTGCAATGTGAACAAAAGTTTGTTGGTAGAACGTAGGACATGTTGAGAGAACCACCTGCACTATGTTGTGCTCAATATCCTATCACTATGATTAGTTTCATTCAATGAAATAGCACTGTTCACTATTAAGGGATGTGATAAAATTATGGATAGAAACTAAGTTGCTGAGCTGAAATATGCAAAGAAGTGAGGACCAAGGCAGCACACCAACAATGACTCAGAATTTGGGATATAGGTTGGCCCTATGCATTGCTGCTGCCAAATTGATTACAAAGTCTTTCCAGGAGAAATGTATTATTTAAGAGAAATATGAAAAATCAACGTTAGGTAATAAGCTAAATGTCTATATATATAAGCCTAAATGACCAGCCAACTGGTTGCTATAACATGCACTGACCACCAAGGGGCAGATGCTCAATGCAGGAGCTGCTCCCTAGTGGTCAGTGCACCCCCACATTGGGAGTCCCACACAGCTGACCTGGATGAGCAGGGCTAGGATGAGCAGGAGTGGCTGCTCTCTGGATCCCTACAGGTC